GGAGGGAGGGAGGGAGGGAGAGGGAAGGGGAGAGAGAGAGAGAGAGAGCAAGGAGAGAGCTAGCCATGTGGTGACCTACTTACGTCTTCATACATTTACGAACTCGTCTTGCACCACTAGTCGCTTGCCTGCATATCCTCTTTTGGGCCTGATGATTACCAGATTCTTCAACCGACATTAGGTGTAACTGCCGGGTCACTGGAGCGCTTCTGGCGCACTGCAGCGAATGTCGGGGTTCCGCCGCCTAGTTTCAAGGCTGAACATGTCCCATACTACTGAGAGGTTGGAACTCATGACCTAAAGCTCGGAGAGAGCAGTATCCTCTTAGGCCACACTGCAGATTCAACTCGAGAGTTGGCACAGCACAGTTGTGACCGAGGAGCAGCAGCACGCGGCAGAAGCGCGCTGCAGGGCCGAGAAACTCGCCGACCTGCGTCAGGGGCACCAAAAGGAATAGGCCCAGGCCCTGGGGGCCCACAAGAGCAGAAGCCCTCATGCTAGCAGCCCAGCGTTGTCCAAACCCGGAGCAGCCCCAGCCAGGCCTTCTGTCCTCCTGGCACCTGCACATACTCAGGAGGCTTAACTTGACGTTGAGCGGGACTGTTGCACATGAGAAGCCCAACTATGCAACCTTCACCAAAGAAACAGAGCAGTGTGAGCACTATGTCGCTTCGCCCGTACATCGTATGCCATATGCTCATCACCCGTGGCTACATCGACGGAATACTCGAGCGATGCTTCGGCTCTGCCAAGGTTCGTCACATCATGCAGACAGCTCAGATGTCGAGTTTGGCCTGGCAGTAGCGTGGCTCCGCATGTCCGAGAATCGCAGCCTTGATGGCGTCCTCACGCAGAGCGCAGGTCGGGGCTGTGGTGCGGAGTTATGCGCTCTATGCCTCGGCGGCTGAGCCGCTCTGCCTAAGCACCTACGCTTCTAATTAGACCTCAAAACTCCATCAGCCCTGCGAGGGCGAGCGTGAGGCCATAACACTTCAACTCGCAGCCCCTGCGTCTCGTGGCACAGAGCAAGACCAACTGGCAGAAAGCGGATCCTTGTCCCTGACTGCAGGCGCAAAGGGAAACTCCTCAGTCCAGCTATGTGCCAATAGAGTCCGTAAACATAGGATCCTCAATCGCAAGTCACTTGCCCGAGCTGGCAGTGCGCTTGGCATGCCGGGTGCAAGTATCTGCCGGTCTCAGGATATTGTTTGCAAGTTCGATACGGCTAACGAAGCGATATTTATCAGAACTCCGTTCGAAGAGTGCCCAGCAACTGAGCAGATTGCTTGGCCTCAGGCGCAACTAGAACCCAAGTAGTGAGCAGGCAAGGCTCATTGAAGAGCAGGGCATAAGCCATGACGCCAAAGGACCACAGATCCGTCTTCTCTGTGTAGCCCAACTGAACAAAAGGGAAAAAAGCTTCGTCTATGCTTCAATACCACGAGCATGAAACCCAAAGCACGACAGAAGGCCTTCCTCATCCGTTCGGGATGTTGAGGGCTCCAGATTGGGTTTTTGCAGTGCAAGGCAACATTGACTCAAATCCTTCCACAACATTCCCACGGTTCCAAAAGATAGCTAAATGTGTTGAAGGGATGTGTCGTCTTCTCTTACTTGAGACTGCTGTGACTTTACCATGCTTGGAGATGCCGCCATGACATCATGATTCATGATGGTATCATGACATGTTCTTGCAAGCGGCAAAATGCACTGGAGAGGTCCTACTCCTGTGCCTTGCCGTGCATCTCCGGGGATCTGTACTGCCAGGAGCCTACCTCCTGGTACAGCTTCCCACCCTGGGCGCACAAAGGCATTCCGAGCTAGGCAGCCTTTCGGCCCTCCCCCATCCCTTACTTGCAGCTTAGGGCTTTTCTGTCTTCTCTCTTCTTTCGAAGTTGAACGTCAGGTGTCCGGGCCTGCGGAGCTGAGCAAGCATCGCTGAAGTCGGTCAGCTTCCTGGGAGGAAGCTGGGCGCATGTCGTGAGGTCTGCAGGGTGGTAAGTTCGGCTTCTAGACTCTCCCTGAGATGGTAGCCCATCTGCGTTTCTGCATTGTCACTACCGCACAGCACTCGGACTCATAGGACTCTGCGGAGTCTCAGAGGGTCTTGGCCGAGCCACATTATGGTGTTGCCCTTGTCGCCTCCGCACATGAAGTTCGATGCCTGCCCAATGAGCACTTGCATTTCCTTCTGGCATTGAGGCATTCAGGTTGGAAGCACGACATATGCTTAGGAACACTTCTGTCAAACAGAACTATTTCCTTCCACATCAGAGCGCAATGTCCTGCTTGGGGCCATCAAAACCATCTGCGCTTCTTACGGAGTAGAAACGAAGCACCCAAGAAAACCACGCGAGGCGGGCCGCCGACGCGCTCGGGCCTTGATGTTGCAGTGGACCACGCCGGCTGAGTGTATCCACTCCACTGCACGAAGCATCCTGAACTCGCGCTGGAGGGTTTCTGGCCTAGAACAGGGAAGTTACGAAGTTCGGGGAATAGATCGCTTCGCGAATCGAGAGCCTCTGGCCCACAGCTGAGGAAAGGAGAGTTCCCGGTTCTTACATTTAGACTTTGCCTAGGTTGCCCTCCTTCTCATGCCACTGATCCACCAGGCGCCATTGATCGTATGAGCGAATCTCAATTGAGTGATCTTAAATGATAGGCAAGATAGGTATGAAGTACCATCAGTCATTAATCATCATCAACATTTGGCCCCGTGATCAATCTGAGGCTCTGCTTGAACGCGGTGCGCGACTTTTGCAGATTCCAGGTCGTGGATAACTGCCTCAGGGCAAGGGCATATGCAGAGTGATACTTGTCTGAGAATCATGCCCTCCTGGCAAGGCCTCTCGCACTGGCGAATTCTGTACTCTCAGACGAGCCGTTCTCCCTTACCCTGAATAGAAATTCAGCAACCTTCCCACCCCCAAGACCAGCTCCGAAAGCTGCTACATGCCGGCTGCCATGCTGTCTCGCAGGGGGAGCTTGTGTCGTTCTGCCCTTTCTTCAGCCAAGATACAGCTTTCGCACAAAATTGCACTGGCACCTCGGCAACTTGCTCCATTGCTGACAAGAACTCCGGTCAGACCCACGGAGTCCCCATTCAACTGCAGACCCTCAGCAAGATGACCGGAGCTCCTAGTGCAGCTTGGCCGCTTCTCCATCAAGAAGAACAGGCTGTTCCCTTCCGCCCGAATGGTGTACCACTGCACGATGTACCTCGAGTTTCTCCGTTTTCCAAGGCACGGCACACTCCCGGCTCGAGAGCTTCACCCGACACTGCGTACTGCGGCCAGCACACTTGCTGTCCATCACACTCCGCCACAGCTTCGCTTCTTGCATGAGATCCTGCAATGCACCGGCCAAGCAAAAGGCGTTGCAGATGCTCCTTGCTTTTCGAGTAGTTCGTGCAGAAAGGTGGTGCAAGAAAGCTTGGAGTGTGGAGCTGTGCAACAAGGCTCGCGGTTCACGACGTGTTGAGTTCCGGGTTTGGGGGCTTCCAAAACAGCAACGTGCCAGTCCCTCAGAAGCTTTTCTCAGCGCTCCTTCAGCGAGGACCCCGTGCGCGTGATGATTCTCAGGGCATAAGGTTCCTGGGAAGGGCTAGCGACGGCTGCACGAACAGTTCAGACTGCCAATTCGAGGTACGAAAGACTTTAATTTTCGCACACCCTGGAAACTTTAGCTTGCTTACATAAGTAGACTCCCGCAAATCCCACATTTTGCAGCTTCGTCGCACGAGATGCCCGCTCCACAGCGGAATAAACATCACCAAATCTGCCCTGAGGATCATTTCGAAATGCGAGGCCGGACACGCGGACACTAGACACTAGACCTGTTGGGCTCAGAAGATCTTCAGACCGCTCGTGAAGGCCTACGCAGAAAGCCAAAAAGAAGAGGATCTCAGCGTTTGCGGGAAACGGGAAAAAAACCTGCCTCCGGAAATCTTTAGGCATTTGGGCGGTGGCCTTGCCAATGACCTCCTGCAGCTCGAAGGCATCGTGGAAGGGGCGGAAGCCCGAAGAGCCACAACCCATGCCAATGCAAAGCACGGCCAGATCGCTGCGTGGTGGAACGCGAGCTTTCACACCCAACACGTCCTGAAAACTGCAACACCCTCGAATGCACCCTCGAAATGTTTTCAAACTCGTGCTGGGCGCATATCTTCGATGTGCTTTGCTCGTTCTCAGCCGGCCCGTGGGCCACAATCTGTCTGCTGTTGCACCCGTCAGCTGCCTCGTCCCGGGGATGACAAAACAGCTGCACTAGGGGGCCTACAGAGGCCTTGCTTTCTGGTATGTTGAACGCTGCTTAGAGTTTGAAGGCTGCTCGCTGCAAGCCGACTCAACGTTTAAGCACCCGATTGCAGTGGCACCTTCAGTGCTGAGCCAGGAAGAAGGGCGAGGGCGAGGGGCAGGCACAGAACTTCACAGCTCTGGCATGGTCCACGGACTTGGCCAAGCGATTCAATGCAAGAAGGACCTTACAGGACCCTGATTTCTGAACTCTGCTGGTCATGGCCGATACATACATATACGGTATCATAAACGTACTACTCCAGTCGTGAGTGATACCTGACACCCCACAGTCAATTGCAAAAGGGCCTCCACCAGGTAGATGGCTTTCTTGTCACACTGCGAGATGCGGAAGCCGTGCCGCTGGTAACCGCTCGACCTGCTGCAGAAGCATTACCAGAATCCCTGACCACCGAATCCTCAACCCGATGTCGGATCCCCGCAACCTTCTATATCTCCGGGAGTGTGTCCGAGGCGGGCACACTCCGCAGATGACCTGATGGTCCACAAGCTCGTGGTCGATCTTGTCCTGCCAGAGAAGCATCTGAGTTTCGGCAATTCTTAAACATAGGCGCAGGCTGTCGAAGGAGCTGCAAAGGAAGAGCTTCACAAGTGGCATACCGCAACGCTGGCCCTAGCTCACTGCGGCCATGGTAACCATGGTACCCGAATATCGCAAGATCTGTCCGAAAACCCTACTTTTAGACAGTAAACCCGAAACTGTACAGAAGAGAGGTCCTGCGTCAAATTTCTGATGACCGCACCGCCCAGAAAGGACTGTTCGGAACCATCTGACCTTACATACCGGCTAGGTCCAGGTCGGGAGGAGTCCAGGGGCGACTTGCGGTTTCGAGTTTTGAGTGGGGGATACGGGGTTGCGGGAATAGGTCGAGCAGACAACTCCATAATCTTGGGCATCATGACATTGGCATCGCAACAAGCTGGAAGAACAAGTGCACATCTCTCCCCCCGCCCCCCCCCCCCCCCCCCCCCCCCCC